TGCCCAGCTAATTTTTGTATTTTTAGTAGAGATGGGGTTTCACCATGTTGACCAGGATGGTCTCGATCTCTTGACCTCGTGATCCACCCGCCTCATGCCCAGCTAATTTTTGTATTTTTAGTAGAGACGGGGTTTCACCATGTTGACCAGGATGGTCTCGATCTCTTGACCTCGTGATCCACCCGCCTCGGCCTCCCAAAGTGCTGGGATTACAGGCTTGAGCCACCGCGCCCGGCAACTTTGCCACATTTTTTACATTCATGAAGGTTTCCTGCACTATGAGTTATTTTGTCTTCAAAAAAAAAAAAAAAAAAAAAAAAGGAACAATTGAGTCTTTTCCCACATTCCTTAAACTCATAAGATTTCTCAAGAGCATGAGTTCTGGTGTCGTGCATCCAAAAGTAAGCTGAAGAAATGAATGCTTTACCACAGTGTTTGCATTTGTAAGCGTTTTCTCCTGTGCAAGTTCTAACATGTATTTTAAAGGAACTGGGACCATGTGTATTGGCTCACACCTGTAATCCCGGCACTTTGGGAGGCCGAGGCACTTTTGGGTGGATCATCTGAGGTCAGAAGTTCAAGACCAGTCTGGCCAACTTGGTGAAACCCCGTCTCTATTAAAAACACAAATATTAGACAGATGTGGTGTGCATGCCTCTACTTCCAGCTACGTGGGAGGCTGAGGCAGGAGAATCACTTGAACCCTGGAGGCAGAGTTTACAATGAGCCAAGATCATGCCACTGCACTCCAGCTTGGGTGATAGAGTAAAACTCCATCTCAAAAAAAAAAAAAAATTAAATTAAATTAAAAATTAAAATGAAAGGAACTGGAACAAACGTTTTTCCACAGTGTTTACATTCATACCATTTTTCTCCATTGTGAATATTTTCATGTATTTGAAAGTAAATGGAAACAGTGAAGGCTCTCACAATGTCTCTACATTTATAGAACCTCTTTCCAGTGTGAATTTATTGTGAAATAATCAGGGAAAGTTAAGGGTTTTGTCACATGGCTTGCATTTATAACATCCCCAGTGTTGGGGGGTAGGGGCTGGTGGGAGGTGATTGGGTCATAGGGTAGATCCCTCATGAATGGCTTAGCACCATCTCCTTGGTGATGAGTAGGTTCTCACTCTGTTCACACAAAATCTGGTTGTTTAAAACAGCCTAGGACCTCGCTCTTCTCTCTTGCTCCTTCTCTTGCTCCTACTCTTGCCCTGTGATGTGTTCACTCCCACTTTGCCTTCCACCATGAGTTAAAGCTTCCTGAGGCCTCTCCAGAAGTAGGGCAGATGCTGGCACCATGCCTGCACAGCCTGCAGACCCACGAGCACATTAAACCTCTTTTCTTTATGAGTTACCGAGGCTCTGGTATTTCTTCATAGCAGCACAAGAACAGACCAACATAGCAAGTAAGGAAAACTTAAAAAGGAGGGGTCAATGAAGCAGGAATAAGGTCAAAAGAGTGTGATGCCCCAGATGCCAAGCAGAGAGGTGGATTGAAGGAATATGGTTGAGTGGATAATGGTGATTAATGCTCTGAGATGAGGACAGTGAATTACCATGTGGACTTGGCATAACAGAGGTCTCCGATAACTTTAGCAAGAGGAGTTTTAGTGGGGTGGGTGGGTGCAGGGGACAAAAGTATGTATGGCATAAGAGTGACATAAATTGACATATAAGGATGGGCTAGGAAGTAGAAACAAGAAGTATAGGCATGATTTTTCAGGGAGCCATCAGAGGTGCTTTTTTTAAGTGTGAGATTGTGCTAAGTGTTGCAAGGACTCTGGAATCCATATGGTCATATGATTTGGAAGGAAAATAAAGGATTGTAGAAAATGGAAAAAAAAATGTAAATAGGAAATTTTACTAAGAACCAGCAGCAGAAGTTTTCTATTAGTATGTAGGAAGGAAAGTATTCAAGTGAAATGCCAGAACTCTAACTAATGTCTACCAGAAATCCTGAACAACATCCTATTTAATGATGAAATCGAAAGATTAAAATTAGGATCAAATCAAGAATGTCGAGAAACACTGCTGTTATTCTGCATTGTATTAGAGTCCTAACTGATGCAGTCGATGCAAAAGTAAGATGAGATGTGATATTTGATAGAGAGACTTTCACTATTTATATGCTGTAAAATCAGTCGTATGATGATATATGATAACCAACTGGTTCTGAGTGTAGTTCCCAGTATGAATGTTGGTTGTTGGTTTTGTTTATATATGAACAACTTAAAGTGAAACAACTTGCCTGAACTACACTTGTTAGTCAATGATATGAGCAACTTCTTGGATAAATTGAAAAATAGTTTTCAAACACTTCAATAGTATTTATTTCCTCAGTTTTTTGTGTTATTCACAAGGTAATGACTATAAATATAACACATTCATAAGTTTATAAGTTTTGCCATACTAACAAAAAACCTAAGACTGGGTAATTTATTTAAAATAAAAATAAAAAGTTTTGGCCAGGTGTGGTGGTTCATACCTATAATCCCAGCACTTTGAGAGGCCAAGGCAGGTCAATTGCCTGAGCCCCAGAGTTCAAGACAGCCTGGGTAACATAGTGAAACCCTATCTCTACAAAAAATTGCACTTTTGGCTGGGTGCTGTGGCTCACACCTGTAATCCTAGCACTCTGGGAGGCTGAGGCAGGTGGATCACAAAGTCAGGAGTTCAAGACCAGCCTGGCCAATGTGGTGACACCCTGTCTCTACTAAAAACACAAAAATTAGCCAGGCATGGCGTTGGGCAACTGTAATTCCAGCTACTCGGGAGGCTGAAGCAGGAGAATTGCTTGAATCAGGGAGGCAGGGGTTGCAATGAGCCGAGATTGCACCACTGCACTCCAGCCTGGGAGACAGAGTGAGAAAAATAAATAAATAAATAAATAAATAATTTAAAACTTGCCCTTTTACAGTGTTTGTTTAAAACATAACTTAAGACTGGGTGCAGTGGCTCAAACCTGTAATCCTAGCACTTTGGGAGGTGGAGGCAGTTGGATCACCTGAGATCAGGAGTTCAAGATCAGCCTGGCCAACACAGCAAAACACCATCTCTACTAAAAAGTCCCTAATGGCTTGTGAGCCACTGAGAACCCTCGCTGGAGAACGCATGTGTTGTGGACACGCTCCCGGAATATACGCAGCAGGGGTGACCCTGCCCCATCCTGTGTGTGACAAAATCGTGTGACAAATGAACACAGACCTGTGCCCCCGCCGTGAGAACCTGTCTGCTCTCCACAGAGGCTTCCTTTTGAAGATTCAAGCTTCTTGCCAAGCTATCTTTCAGCCATAAACCATTTTCCTCTCATTTACAGGAAAAAGAGGAAGAAAAATCCCACCCATCCTTTTCTGGGTTGATTATTTTCCATTTGAAATTAATGGGCTTCCCACAATGAAGCCAAGTTGTTTTGTTTGGATAATGAAATTGTCCTTTGGCTTCACACGCAGCAATTCAAGCTCACGCGGGCTTCAGCCATTCAGGGACCAAGTCCTTAGTATGGCTAGAAAGAAGGAATGCTATTGTTTTACAGGGATGAAAGATTCAAATTCCTTGCTGAATTTCCCTGCTTATCATGGACAGGCAAACTTACAGCAAGACTTTGTTTGTTTTTTGTTTTTTGAGATAGTTCTTGCTCTGTCACCAGAGCTGGAGTGCAGTGGTGCAATCGTGGCTCTCTACAGCCTTGAATCCCCAGGCTCAAGTGATCTTCTCAGCTTTCTGAATAGCTGAGACTACAGGTGCAGCACCATGCCTGGCTAATTTCTTTTACTTTTGCAGAGAAAGGGTCTCACTATGCTGGCCAGGCTGGTCTCAAACTCCTGGCCACAAGTGATCCTCCCACCTCAGCCTCCCAAAGTACTGGCATGAGTCACTTTGCTCAGCACAGGAAAACTTTTAATGTTCACCCAGGATATTTCAAATGTGAATCCGTCCTTGAGTGCCTACAAGTGACTGGCCAGTGTTTCCAAAGAGGCACTAAAAACGTTGAAAAAATAAAATGGTGACTGTGGATAAGGTATCTGTCGCCGTGCTATGCTGCACAGAATGCTCACAGGAAAATCCACACTGCTCTGTGACACCATTATCAAGGCACACGTGCTGAGAGGAGGCTCAGACCATATGGGCCTGTGCATATGGTAATCATTAAAGACTCACAGCTTACAAGAGTAACTGACAGAAAAAATATATATAGTGAGAGTCTCAGCGGTATAAATGCCTACCCAGACCTCCCACCATATGGGGATCTTTAAGTCAAAAGAATTAAGCCTCAGAGCTAGAAGCTATTCCTGCACACAAGTAGAAACTGCTTTCAGTGAGCAGAATCAGGAAATGCGATGACTTGTCTACTCAGGCACATACTTAATGGGAGTACCCAAACCAAAGGAACTAGAAGGACTTTCGCTTCTTTTGGAAAGAAGGGAGGTGGTGAGTGAGCTTCCACATTCAGCCCCACCCAAAGAGCTCCCCAGACCTGGGCCACAGGGTCAGGAAATTGCAGCAGAGAGTTCAGAGACAGGACGAGGGCCAGCAAAGGAAAAGTGATTAAGGGGTCAAAGACCGGCATAAAAATGGCTTCTTTCCAAATATTGAGTTGGAGACTTTTATTTATTTATTTATTTATTTATTTTGAAATGGAGTCTCACTCTGTACCCCAGGCTGGAATGCAGTGGCACAATCTCAGCACACTGCAACCTCCGCCTCCCAAGGTCAAGCAATTCACCTGCCCCAGCCTCCCAAGTAGCTGGGATTGCAGGTGCATGCCACCACACCCAGCTAATATTTGTATTTTTAATAGAGACAGGATTTCACCACATTGGCCAGACTGGTCTTGAACTCCTGACCTCAAGTGATCCACCTGCCTCAGCTTCCCAAAGTGCTGGGATTACAGACGTGAGTCATCCCATCTGGCCAAACGGGAGTCTTGAATGAAAAACAAGAGATACATTTTCAAAGGATTCATGTACAGGGGCAAGCATTTATCATTGGTAAGCATGGGTTTGCAATCTGAAGAATGTGTAGATTTTCCGGTAAGGATGAACAGAGCAGGAAGCAAATATTTTACTTTGACCAATTTGATTTTAAGCAATAGGTTTCATTTTGTTGTATGCCTCATTGCAGAAGATGGTGACACCACAAGAAGGGGCCAGAACACATCCTGAAGCAATATTCTAGTCACTCTTACCTTCCCCTCCATGCCCCAGAAAGTAAATCTACACCCCACCAGAAAGCAAAGTTACACACATGCACAAAACATAAAGCGCCTACACATCCTATTGTAGAAGTCAGTTTTAACATAAGAAAAGTCCATGCCTTCAAGAAATATTTATTAGGGCTGGGGACAGTGGCTCATGCCTGTAATCCCAACATTTTGGGAGGCCAAGGTGGGAGGATCACATAAGACCAGGAGTTTGAGACCAGCCTGGGCAACATAGCAAGACCCCATATCTATAAAAAGGAATTAAAAATTAGCCAGACATGGTGGCGTACACCTGCAGTCCCAGCTACTCAGGAGGCAGAGATGAGAGGATTGCTCCCACCTCAGCCTCCTGAGTAGCTGGGACTACAGCAGCGAGCTATGATCACAGCACTGCACTGCATTCTGGGCAGCAAAGCAAGGAACTGTCAAGAGAGGGAGAAAGAGAGGGAGAGAAGAAGAGAGGAAGGGAGGGAGGGAGGAAAGGAAAGACGGAGGGAAAGACAGGAGTGAGAAGGAAAGAGGGAAAGAAAGGAAGGAAGAGAAAGGAAGAAAGAAAGGGGAAGAGAGGGAAAGAAATAAAAAGAGAGGAAGGAAGGGAGAAAGAAAGAAGGAAGGAAGAAATGAATGAATGAACAAAAAAAGAAAGAAAGAATACTTATTGAGCACCTACTATGCCCACAGGGAACAGGTACTAAGAAAGAAAGAAGAAAAAGAAAAAAGGAAGGAAGGGAGGGAGGGAAAGAAAGAAAGAAAGAGAGAAAAGAAGGAAGGAAATAAAGAACGAACACTTAATGAGCAGGTACTATGTGCACAGGCAGTAAGTACTAAGGGAGGCAGCAGCAGATGAAACAGTGTCCTTGGACTTATGGGGCTTTTATTTTAACAGGGCAGATGAATAGTAAACAAATAAATACTACGAAGTTAGTTAGAAGAAATATGAAGAAGGTTAAGCAAAGTAAGTCAATGGAGGAGGAGGCCGATGCTACTCAAGAGGATGATCAATGGAAGGAGCCTGTCTGAACAGATGCTCTTTCAGCAAGGGCCCGAACCAAGGAAGGAAGGAAGCCCGGTGCCGGGTACTGGAAACAGTGAGAGCAAAGGCCCCGAGGTAGGAGCTGTGCGCTTCAGGAAGAGCAGGAAGGCATGCAGGGTGGGAGTGGAGTCAGTAATGAGTTTGTTTCACCTGAAGTCTCCCTTTTGAGCAATAAAATTGGGTGCCAAAGTCGTGAATTACCTAATTAATTGTAGCTTCCATCCAAAGTGGTAAGTGGTAACCAACCTGAGCTCACCCCCTCTGCCCTTGGCAGAACCATGCTGTCTTCTGGGACAGCTGCTAGTCCTCCTGGTGCCTGTGGGCAAGTTAGAAAACAGTGCTCCTTCCTCCAGGCAAAGGCCGCTCCATGGCTGGGTGCACTACCAGGCAGATGGTACCTGGTCTGGACTTCACCTGCCATTTGCCCCCACCGTCAGGCACTCAGCAACGTGCGCTGGCCAGAATCAACTGCATCTTTTCCAGAGCGTGATACCTCCCCGACTACCGATCGTAGAGTTCCCCACGCCAATGGTTTCAAGTGTGAACTGTGAGTTCATTCTCATCATGTAGTTCATTTTGCAACAAGCGTGAAGCCATGCTCCTCTGAACCATTTGGTAGGTGTTGCAAATAGCTGAATGATGGAAAAGATGAATCTGTTTGGCCATAGATGGACTGTAAGATGTATATTGGATTCCCCTTCCTGTTGTTAAAAATTAATGCAAATTTAGTTATTTAAAACAACACAGATTTTTTTTTTTTTTTTTTTTTTTTTTTGAGACGGAGTTTCGCTCTTGTTACCCAGGCTGGAGTGCAATGGCGCGATCTCAGCTCACCACAACCTCCGCCTCCTGGGTTCAGGCAATTCTCCTGCCTCAGCCTCCTGAGTAGCTCGGATTACAGGCATGTGCCACCATGCCCAGCTCCTTTTTTGTGTTTTTAGTAGAGACGGGGTTTCACCATATTGACCAGGATGGTCTCGATCTCTTGACCTCGTGATCCACCCGCCTCGGCCTCCCAAAGTGCTGGGATTACAGGCTTGAGCCACCGCGCCCAGCCTAACAACACAGATTTATTATCTCGTAGTTTTGGAGGTCAGGAGTCCCAAATTCAAGGTGCTAGCAGTGGCATTGCTTCTGGAGGCTCGGGGAGACAATCCATGTAGCTGCCTTTTCTGACTTCTAGGGGCGCCTGCATTCCTTCACTCCTTGACCCTTCCTCCATTTTCAAAGGCAGCAATGTAGCACTGTCAAAGCCGTCTCTCTCCCTCTCTCTCTCACGCACACACACCTGCTTCCATCATACGTCCCCTCCTCTGACTCAGACCCTCTGCCTCCCTCTTGTAAGAGCCCTTGAGATGACACTGGGTTGGCCTGAGTAATCCAGAAAAATGCGGGATAATCTCTTCATCTGAAGATCCTACATCTACAAAGTCCTTTCGTCCCGTTTAGTGACATGGGGGCATCCAGGGATTAGGACATGAACATCTTTGGGGGTCATCGTTCTGCTGACCACAAGATACAAAAAGAAAGTACACTCCCTGAGAAGGCCCCGTGTCTGACACTGTTCCTGGCCTTCAGAATTGTTTTAGACATTCACTCTTCACCTCCGGAAGGCTTTCTAATTTTAAAGAATTCATTGATATAACACGAATGCTGTTGGGAGCACCATTCACAGTAGCAAAGACATGGACTCAACCCAGGGTGCCCATCAGCGATAGACTGGATAAAGAAAACGTGGCGTGTATACACCAGGGAATACTACACAGCTTTAAAAAAGAATGAGCTCGTGTCCTTTGCATCTGGAGGTCATTACCCTAAGTGAGTTAACACAGGAACAGAAAACCAAATACCACATGTTCTCACTTACAAGTGGGAGCTAAACAGTGGGCATATGGGGACATGAAGACGGCAATGACAGATACTGGGGACTGCTAGAGAGAGGAGGCACGAGGGGACCAGGAATGAAAAACTAACTATTGGATGCTATGCTCACTACCTAGGTGATAGGATCAACTGTACCCCAAACCCCAGCATCACACAATGTACCCAGATAACAAACCTGTACATGTACCCCCTGAATCTAAAACAACAGTTGAAATTTTTTTTAAATTAAAGAAAAAACCCAAATGCTGCTAAGAGGGAGAACATGCTAAGTATTATCTGTGAAGATATTAGAGAGAGGATAAAGACCCAGGGAAATAATTAGAGAATGTAAGGAAGGGTGTTCCGGCACTACAGGCATTAAAAAAAAAAAAAAAAATCGTGATTTTTCAGTTTTAGCCAAGACCTAATTTGCCCCCTTAGAAAGAGCACACAGCCGGGCACAGGGCTCATGCCTGTAATCCCAGCATAGGAGGGAGGGTGAGGTAGGTGGATCACCTGAGGTCAGGAGTTCAAGACCAACCTGGCTAAGATGGTGAAACCCCATCTCTACTAAAAATACAAAAAAAAAAAAAAAATAGCTGGCATGGTGGCACATGCTTGTAATCCTAGCTACTCTGGAGGCTGAGGGAGGAGAATCACTTGAATGTGGAGGCAGAGGTTGCAGTGAGCCAAGATTGCACCACTGCACTCCAGCTTGGGCAACAAGAGCGAAACTCCACCTCAAAAACAAAGAAACAAAAATTTGTTAACCACAGAAATTGCATTTAGTATTTGGTATCTTTGTATCTTACTTTCTTCACAATGAACTGAGAATAACAGCTAATCCCTTGGGTCAGATGACATTTAAAAACCCTGTATGTAGAGCTGGGCACAGTGGCACATGCTTGCAATCTCAGCTACTTGGGGGGCTGAATCAGGAAGATCCCTTGAGACCAGGAATTTGAGACCAGCCTGGACAACAATGTGAGATTCTGTCTCTTAAATTTTTTAAAAAACTCACCACGTGCACTGGTGCACAGTTGTAGCGCTAGCCCCTTGTTAGGCTAAGGCAGGAGGATCACCTGAGCCCAGAAGTTTGAGGCTGCAGTAACCTATGATCGTGCCACTGCACTTGAGCCCAGACAACCGAGCAAGACCCTGCCTTAAAGAAGTAAACAAAAAAAGAAAGCAAGAACAACCCTGCATATAAAAGCCCCTAGCTTAGCAAGCTAGTGAATATTCCTTTTGTGGTGAGTCTTGAACATGTCAGCTCCTTTAATGCTCAGAACTGCTATTTGAAGCAGGTGCTATCATTACCCTCAATTGACACGTGAGGAGACTGAGGCTTGGGCTAAATAACCAGAGAAAGGTCATTCAGCTAGGAAGTAGCAGAACTGGGTTATGAACCTGGAATCATGTAACTCCAGGGTCACTACTTTCTATCACTATAAAGTATTCTGCCTGCAGGCTGGGTGCAGAGGCTCACGCCTGTAATCTCAGCACTTTGGGAAGCCAAAGCCAGCAGATGGCTTGAATCTAGGAGTTTGAGACTAGCCTGGGCAACATAGCAAGACCCCATCTCTACAAAAATACAAAAATTAGCCGGGCATGGGGGCGCATCCCTGTAGTCCCAACCACTTGGGAAGCCGAGGCAGGTGGAGGCTGCAGTGAGCCAAGATCACACCACTGCACTCCAGCCTGGACCACAGAGTGAGACCCTGTCCCAAAAAAGAAAAAAAAAAAAGTATTCTGCCTGTAAAACCTAGGTGGGAAATCTGGGTACAGTATTTGGGTGAGGTTATGGTAAGGTGGTGGAGAAAATAAAGCAAGCTCATATTTTAAAATTGCAAAAGGAGGCAATTCCAAGGTGATTGAGGTTTGAACAAATAATTACAGTTTAGGATTTGGCATTGTGAGCCATTTTAAAATTCGGGCAACAGAGATGGAAATTAGCAGCACCTGCCCTTCCCTGGGTCCCCTGCCTCTCTCTGAAGCCTCTGAAGAGACCCCTGAAAAAGGCCAATTTCAGAAGCCGCACAGTTATTTTGTCTGTTAAATTATCAAACACTCAACTCAGGAATCTAGAAAAGAAAATAATAAAATCTTGAAGATATCAGAAGAATTTACGAATGAACAAATTACAAACCAGGCCATCATTTAAGTAAACGAATACATTCAAATGGAGTTTTTTGAATAAGAAAACTCCCTCACCAAAATAGTCTAATTTCTGAAATTGTCATTGAAAAAAACATAAATGAAAGAAGAAAAATAGTAAGAAAAAATCAGAAAATCATTGGAATAGATGAAACAATTTCACCCATATTTTAAAACAGACAAATGTACATTTTCAGAAAAGAGAAACAAAACTGGGGAAAAAAAAAAAAAAAAACCGACAGGAATGTATTTTCCTGACCTGGGTCCTACTAAGCCCTCCCACCGACATTCCAGTGAGAACGCAGCTTCCATCTCTGCAGCTTGATCTCCTCCCCTCAGCTTCCTCCCTGTCTCCATCCACCCTCTCTTCCCCCAGCACGGACCCCACCTCGCGCCACAGCCCTTCCTGCACCGCCACTCCATCCCATCCGCCCCCCACAAGCTACTCTTGCATCTTGTGGAACTCAGGCTCAACTATAAACAAGCTTCCTTACAAGTTAATCTATTCGAATTAGTCATTTACCTCTTAAACTATTGTGTGAATCATGAATGAAACAGAGCAAGATCTTTGTTCTCTGGTAACTTATATGTTTAGTTGTGAAAAGCTGACAATTAGGATATAAATATATAGGTACAAACACTATACATAAAATACATAAATATAATATAATGCATAATACATAAATTCATAATCAATACATTTGCAAATGGTTAGCACTTCACCATTTAGGTGCACTCACCCTTCTGAGACCTTACAACTACACCAGGTCTGTCTGAACACAGGAGAAATGAGCTCCAGAATAAAAACACTTTTTCTTTATTTACTTTTATTATTCTTTCTTATGGAGTCACTCCAACACCCAGGCTGGAGTACAGTGATGCTACGTTAGCTACTGCAATCTCTCTGCCTCCCAGGTTCGAGTGATTCTCCTGCCTCAGCCTCCCAAGTAGCTGGGATTACAGGCATGTGCCACCACGCCTGGCTAATTTTTTTTGTATTTTTAGTAGAGACAAGTTTTCACCTTATTGGCCAGGCTGGTCTCCAACTCCTGACCTCAAGTGATCTGCCTGCCTCAACCTCCCAAATTGCTGGAATTACAGGCATGAGACACCATGCCCAGCCTAAAAAACTTTTTTTTTTAAAGGCGCAGTCTGCCACGTGACTTTCTCTTAGTATTGAATATTTTTGTTGCATTAGTTTTAACTTGATGTGGGAATTCCTGTAGCGAAAAATACTACATAGTCGTCAACTGTGTTCATTAGTTCCTAGCCAGAAAGATATTTGGAGGCTATTTCAAAAGTCCTTCTTGATTTGTGGCTTTGCTGATCAACTTTTCAATGAGCAACTGAAATTATAGTTTCCAATGAAGGGTGGAGGGGGGGTAAAGTGGTGGGAAGAAACCCATCTAGATGTGCAATTATATCAGAAAGAATTTTCGGACACTTTACTTGGATTCTGAAAGATAAACTGTCTTATTCGTATTCAAAAAGTTTCTCAGAACAATGAAGGCTTTTAAAATATATTTGTTT